TGAATATTCATTTAAGATAACGGATAGAGCATCAGTCAGGCAGAGTTTCTTTGTAGTGGGATGTTGTTGGAGCTGCATTCATCCAGACAAGTGGAAAGTATTACATTACTGTCCTGACTCATGCCTTGTAAAAGGTGGACAAGCTTTGGGGAGTCAGAGGTCAGCCACTCTCCGCTGGCATTCCCAGCCTCTGACCTACCCCAATATTCACAGGATTTATATGGCTGTTTTAGTTAAACTCCTGATAAATGAGAATGTTGATTGTGGGCAATTCAGCCATGACAATATCATTAAATATCAAGGAGAGATGTATAGATTCTCTTGTGTGGGAAGTGGTCATTGTCTGGCACTTTGGATAGTGTGAACATTGCTTGACATTTCTAGGTCAAAGTCTCAATGTTATCAGGATCTTGCCGTATAGGGGTGGTGAACATTTTATAATCATTGGTGAATATTCCTTTCACAACAAATTCAGAAGTGACAATCTAACTGACCAAACAAAAAAAAATTGGATCCATGATGCTGCCTTGAGACAACTGTCCTCAGCAACAACAATGGTCTTCCTTTATTCTAGGAATGATTCCAGCAGTGGAGTTTCTTCCTTAGTTTCAACATTTATTAGGGATCCTAGATACCACTCCCTTGCCAAATGCTGTCTTGATGTCAAGGTCAATCATTCTAACCTCAGCAATGAAATTTAGCTCTTTTATCCATATTTGAACAAAAGGTTGAAATCTAATCAGTGTCAAAACATCCTGGCAAAACCCAAAACCCAGTGACAATGTTATTGCTGATCAATTGCCACTTTACACCATTGTTAATTAAAACTCAAATTACATTCCAGACAATCACAAGGAGACTGAATGCACGGTTGGTTGGATTGGTCCTGATTTTTGTGGATGGGACACAACTAGGAGAGTTTTGACTTTTGGATTGTTACATCTGGTCGGAGAATCCTGCTGGCAGGACAGTACATGCATAGGATTGTTAATGGAGGAGTCTGGGATATTAGCTGTCAGATACCATTTGACAAGTATGACAAAGTTAGGCTTTTGCTGGTCTTGGTTAAATGACAGCTCTCAAGTCTCCAGATATTGGCCAGAGTGACTGCTGGTGCTTTGCTGTTTCTGTTGCATGGCTCAATGCTAGATAGACCATCCAATTTTATTTATATTAAATTTTTCTTCAGCAGTGTGATACAACCGAGTGGCTTTCTAGACCACTGCAGTTGTCAGTAAAAGCCAACTACATAGCTCCAAATCCACAGCAATTTATAAGCCAGACCAGGTAAAGTTGTC